CATGTAACAACCCGACACCTCAGTATGGTGGTGAAGACTGTGTTGGGTTGGGAACATTAAGAAAGGAAAGAAGATGCAACACTAAGTCATGCGCTGGTAGTATCTTTATATCATTTAAAGTTAAGATTTATAATGAAAATAGATAACGAATAACGATGGTCTCAAAATCATATAAACAAAACAGAATTCAAGAGTACAAAAACACTTCGATTTCTAGATACTCTACGGTTGGGATTAAGCTCTAGTAAGAATAAGTATCCCTTGTTGAGCGGAAATATTCACTATGATATATATGGGTACAGTACACAAATTGTTTTCCAATAAGCGACAATGTTAACGATTCTTCTAATAGCAATGTCCCTAATTTTTGTTCAACACTAAGTGACCTCTCAAAACAAAGCTAGCACGTTGTCTTTCTTTGGTCAAAATCCTGAGGTGGCATCTCAGATTCGTTTTCCGGCAAAATGCGTCTGTCTGCTGGAGCCTCTAAAAATGAAAGTGAAAGTAGGGGAATTTCAGCATTCTCAATGGGTTATAATACACAAATAATTTGGCTGATATTCTTGATAAAATATATTTGTCAAGCTTTTCTGGCAGGAAAGATGTTCAATACATTTGCACCAGCATGCCTGCAAATTAAGGAAATTGTATTTTTTTTTCTGCACTACTGTCTTCTTCTACCGATTCTAAAAATAATTAATGAGATGTACCATATGAATTAATCAAGCAGACTTAATAATCCGTAGTCAGTTAATATAGAAATAAAGGCGCTACAATGCACATTAAATAGATCAGTCAAAAGGACCTATTTCTAGATATTATTTGTCAATAAGATAATTATTATGACCAACAAATTTACAACATGCTGGCAATGCACTTGGATTTTGAAATACAAATAGAACAATATATTTCCTTGTAGCTTTAATTTTCGTTTTAACCTTAAATAAAATCTATTTAGGACATTATCGTGTTGGGAATGTACTTATATTAAGAACATGAAAAAAAAAAGTCTAAACTAAAGGAAAGGAATCAAATCGAATACATTAGGAACTACTTAACATTTATTGAAGTCGGTAGCAGTTTGTTTAAATTTTTCATGTTTTTCTATGAAACATAACCATTTTCACCTTACTTTATCAGTTGATGGCCAATGGTCGTCATTTATTCCCTTTGGAGACTGGAGTCAGTGTTCCTCTTCTTGTAACAATGGGACCAAGACACGTGTTAAAATCCGCACTTGTTCTGCACCGGCTCCATCATCCGGTGGTAAACAATGCATTGGCCAGAGTATGTCAACAGAAATCATGTCCTGTAACATGCAACCTTGCAGTGGTAAATTTGATTGAATAATTCCTACACATCACCAATGTATCTAACTCAAAATAATGTTTTGATTAAAAGAATTTTTATTTTACCATGTTAAATGTGCGTTTTTCATTTGTACAAAGAAGAGGGTACAGTTTGAGCTTTATTGTGCCCTAAAAATTCAATGTACTTAAAAGTAAAAAAAATTGGCTTTAAAAATAATTGAGAAGATAAATATGATAAATTATTAAAGAATATGGCATAAAAGAGGGCCTTTCTGGAAATATGACGTCATTAATGTGATACATTTCTAAGTTTAATGCAGAAAAGTCCCAAAATGTCTCATTTCTGTGCTAATTTTCTATTAGAAAATAGTGTCTGCCACCGTCGCCCGCTTTAATTTTTGAATATATTATGTAAAAAGCTATGAAAAGTCACATATTTCAAAATCTTTCGAGGCGACTATGGCAAAGTATGTTTTCTGAAAGAAAATTCCACTGAAAAGTGATGTCTTCTGCAACTTTTTGAGAAAATACGGGAAAATGCACAAGTTATTGACGTCACAATTAGCATTTAGGAGGTCATATGAGAAAAACGGTTTGTGTTTTCTTACTGCAGGGAATTCCTATGATTCAGAAAGAATGAATTGTTACTTTTTATATCACTTCAATATTTTAAAAAAAATATAGGGCTTAAATTGTACTGAAACTGTTCCTTCTTCTTTTAATAATATGAATACTCTAGATCTTTTATACTTGGTTATTTAATTATAATCTTTTCCAATCTTTAATTGATAATCATACTGTATACCACGAATAAGCTGCGCAATGCAAAGTCACACAATTATACATGTGGCTCATAAATTCCATAGAATGTAAACCAGGATATATGTGCTTAAGAACAGATGCTACAAAAAAAAGCGTGTCTTATTGGTGTTTATTTTGGACCTCATTGGTCGTTAATAATATGAATATTACATTTTCTTAAATATTAATGAGTTGTTAATGTTCAACCTAATGGAATCATCCTATTATTTTATGCATTTCTTGATACTTGAAATACAATCATTGCTAACATTCGGAGAAAAAAGTTGAAATATATGCAGTGAAACACATTTATTTGGTATATTAACAATATTTGCATTTATTATCTTTTTCTTTTTTAAGGAATGAATTTAATAGCTACCCATTTTATACGGTATAAACTAGGTTGGGGCAGTTTACGCTTTATTAACCGTTTTTAAAAAAAGCGTAAACTGTTCCAACCCAGTTTATACCGTATAAAATGGCTAGCTATTACATTCATCACTTATAATTTACTGGTAATTTTCATTCATTTGATGTAGGAAAATAAGAATATTGTTCTAACAAAATGACTTCAAATTGTACAAAATTGAATGTAACGTCAGGCGGATTGAAACGTTTTTGAAAAAAAGTCATTGTGACGTAGGCAACCCATTTTATACGATATGAAGTAAATTTTTTATCCAATCAAATACAGCGTTACAACCAGAATTAAAGTATTATCATCTATTAAAATGTCTTTGTGTTATCTGATTTTAGTATGAATAGATCATGATATATCACGCAAAATATATACTAGTATCACACAAATTGCATTGCTGATATTTTAGAAAGAATTGATATATAAGTGATACTTTTCTCTTCCAAAAAAGTTATACATTATAACTTTTTTCTATTATTATTATTACATGTATACCGGTGCTAATATGCTTCAAGCAGAATTTTTATTCTATATTTTAGAAAGAGAATACCAAGCACAGACAACAACTATCATAATCGCTTTCATGTCATCAATCCTCATCCTGTTTTTACTTGGTTGTCTACTTATATTCTTTTATCGTCGATATAAAAGGACGTCGAGAACAGAATCTTTACCGCAGCCACAACCAGAAGTTTACGAGGAAATTCATAGTATGGATATAACGAACAACGCCTACGTCCCATCATACGCAGAATACATCCTTAATCCACAACTGCTGAACAGACCAAACCCTGCAACTGCACGTCCTTCTATCTTCATGAACATTCAACGATTTGGATCCGCTCTAATCCCAACAACAAATGATTGCCGACTGAGTGAAATTATAAGACTTAGGGAAAACGATGAAATCAATGAAGAGATAATTTTGAGTCTAAAAAATGATTTTGAATCTTCAGAGCAGGACGAATCGAAATTTGCAATATCCTCAAGAAATGCTTTCGGAAAAAAGAAGGACAACCAGGAAGAATATTTTGATGTTGCAAATCCTATTACAGAAGAACTTCCCGTTGAAGGTTATGAGAATCCAATGTTAAAATGCAGAAATAGTTACATAACTGTTTTGCCAGATGCGGAAGAATCTGCGATCAAAGATCAACAAGATTATTTGGACTGCTGTCATGACATTGGTGAAGCAGAGAAAACTGAAGTAAATTAAGATTATCACGTTATTTTTAGAATAAATTGAAGGAATGGGAAGTGTAAAAGATTCAATTATAACGAAACTGAAATTAATGTGACTTGATGAAGCGACACGTATAAATGATAAGGGGTCTAAGTGCTAATTAATTAGATCACTATCCTTCAAACAACTAAAGAAGAATGTACATACAGAATACTCTAGAGATACAAGTATTTTGATAGAACTGTTTACAAAATAGCAAGCTCGATAAAATATTGTTCCAGTTCATCATTTGTCATGTATTTGTCTAATACATTGTGTATAAAAATAGTGTCAAATACGTTGTGTCAACTTAATCATTGTTTATTGAATTATCTTGTACATAGTTGCATGTTTAAAAAAAGGACTCATTGCAATATCTTTCTATCTTATGTTTGTTAAAATATACTTTTGGGGTTCTTAACACTGGTGTATTATGAGATTTTTTTCATTTATAATAAGGGATTTTTTAAAATCATGTTTGTTTTAACACTGAATATTATATTATTTTTTATAGAGAAAGTGTCGTATGTCATTGGTAGGTCAACTAATCAAATAGCTTCAGAACGGTACAGTTTGTTCGATGGTTGGCACTGTAGCTCTCTGGTCTGTCAACACATATTTTTCTTTCGGAGAGCTACAACTCTGCAGCTACTGATCAAAAGGCTCTACTGAGCTTATCTGATCATCTTTTATGCATGCATGTTTATTGTTGTATATTAACATTGATGCCTGTCCTACGATAAACAACTTTTTTTTCTAGTGAGCAATGTGAAAAAATAGCTTTATGTTTTAAATAAGAATTAAACGCTGACGCTTTTATCATATTGCAGTTGTGAAACATGTCTATACTCCATATATAAAATGCTAAGATTTTATCGAACAATAGGAAAACAATTACTCATGATTTACAACATGTCATGTTAAAATTAAACCTTTGTAAAACAGTTTCCTTATATGTTGCTTTGTCTAGTTATTTGTTTAATGTAAAAATTTTTGGGGGAATTTTCCACTCCTATCAGACACCACTACTTGCCGGTGGAGGGCTGATATTTTAGACCTATACTCTGCATTAAAATAAATACATTGATGGCATCCTCGTTTATATAGGAAGATCTGAATTGAAGGAGGAACATTAAAACAAATTCTACCAATTACAATAATCAATAGCAAATGTTCAAAATAATTCAAGAGTGTTTAAAATTTCTTTGAACTTATTTGCCGATTATAGTTTCTTAAATAAATGTTTTCCCTATTGGCGTTTAATCATCATGTGTTTGGCGCACTTCCTTCCCAGACCGGATGACAGCTGCCCAGGGTCCCTCCAGGCTGTAGATGACCAGGGGCTGTTTAAGAAGGCGGAATAGCAATCCCTGCACACCCAGCCCACTTTAGCCCCAGCGGTGCAGTAAAATCCGACACTCAGGTCTTTATTAACATCAGAAGTACTAAAGGACATGCCCAACAGATCGTATTTATCCGGATCTCCCGTATTTATCACACTGTCGAATAACAGACGTTCATACGCATTTAATTCTAATACAAAGTTTTTCACTAACACTGCTGGGAATAACATATAAAACATTGTCAAATGTCTGAATGTTAGGAATACCATCGTCTGTATTCTTTTTTTGTTTATAGAGAAATTCTGAGCCTTACCTAAAGTTCCAGTCATATTCCCCGCCAGAAAGAGTTTATAATTTTGTGTTTTATTGGCCATGGGAAAGATTTAGTACAACTCAAGAAGAGTTGTTTTGTTTACATATGTGATTGAAATATAGAGAAATAATTATGTCCTTTGACATTGTTATATTTTGGATCAGATCATTTCCTAATTAGAAAAATATATGTTGAAAAATTGATAAATGTAAAGCAGTTTAGGCATTTAGTATTTCTTTAATAAATCATCAAAATTGATGCATCACTTCACACATTTACGAAAAAACTAGAAAACATGTACACTTATTCTAAATATTAAGATACGTAGTTTTCCAAAAGGAAAAAAAAAATTTGACAAGCAATCCTTCTTGATGAAATTGAAATAATAAAATGCTTAGAATATTGCCAATAAAAAGAGCTGTTTTACCTAGTCTATCAATACTTCATAGAAAATAATAGAGATGAACTCAATCATTTATTTCATCTGAATTTTGTTAACAATATTGAGTTGCATTATTAACAGTTCAAACTTTTACGAAAGGTTTAAATTAAAATGCAGACATTGAGAGGGGTCATTTGGATGAGACCATATAAACTGGCATCTAATGGCACCTGATCTCACCACTGATGTTTTTGGATTTTGAAGTCCGTGTTTGCTCTGCTCCTATTTTGTATTGTTTTATGGAATTATAATCTTGAATACTGTTTGTAACTTCCATATGTTTCATATAAACTGAGATCCAGTGTTGCTTGCTCGTATCTCCCTTTCTCGTATGCTCCTTACTACTAGATAGCCTTTAATGCCGAGTATTGGTCTAAAATTTCAACACCCTTCAGGAACTTTGGCGTTTCTTTATCAGTGAAAAATTTACAAAAGGGGGTATCAAATTAAACATGTGAACAAATAAATAATGATAATAAAAAAATATAGGTTTTGTCAAATGAAAGTCAGTTAATAATAAAATCTGAAGTTTGAATCAGTAAAAGAATGTTTCGTAAAAATCTTTATTCTTTTATAAACGTTAATGAAAGACACACCATCTGAATCCATGAAGATATACACCATTCTGCATACCCACCGTCCCGTAAATACATGTCACAATAAACTCTGTCAGGACTGGAGATATCTTCGTACGGAAAACAGCTTACTATCCGTAAGTAGATGCCCAATATGCATTTTTTCAAGGACCCCAAACTTTTCCGTATTTGTTTCTACTAGGGAGGGCAATCGATAACAGAATTGCCAATCGGTTAATCGCAAGACGTTCCGACCGATTAACCGGTTAGTCGTATCACAAATACAAATTTATTTGATAATTATATTTGGGTTTTTTTTCATCTTCTAGAAACTCTTTTTCAGAAGGGTACCTGTAAAGTGCGAAACGAAATAGAAACGAAACGAAACGAAACGAACTGAAACGAAACGAAATCTACCGAAACGAAACGAAATCTACCGAAACGAAACGAAACCTACCGAAACGAAACGAAATCAAAACGAAACCGGCCGAAACGAAACGAAACAAAACCTCCAGAATGTTTTTCAAATCAAGCTTTATACATTTACATATAGTTATATATAATGTGTAACTGCATATGGTCTATTTTTACTTCATATAAAATTTTATATACATGTAGTTCAAGCACCACAGGTAAATTATCGCTTCAAGCTCATAAATAGGCGTCAGAAGGAAATTGAAAGTGGGGGGCGGGGGGCTTAACCAACATTCCAATGCCTTAATAATATATGTCTTTGCAAAAAAGGGGGGGCAAACCCCTCACCCCCACCCCCACTTCCGACTCCTATGTCATATTTTGTTAATATCTTACTGAATAATTTACCTACTTAAAGTGACATCGTCCGCTTCGAGAGACTTTTTTCTTGTCAATTAAATCGTTTTAGACGTCTCTGGTTGAGCCTCTTTAATTGCAAACCATTCATTTCTTCCTCGAAAATTACCTCGATAAAAATAGAACCGTACGTACGTAGAAAGGATACACAAGATACCGGTTGGAGTTACAATCGTATAATTGTATAATCTGATTGAACAATAAACCCAGGCACTTCGGAATGAAATACTAAATACTCTAATTCTCTGGTTTATCCTATGTTTTAAGACATTCGCAGTGACTTCATTTCGACCCGTACATTAACGAGCCTGTACATGTAACACAGTCATCAATTTTGTTAGATATGTTGTATCTAGAGAAATAAGGACTGAAAATAAGAGTAAGACATAAAAATTAGAAAATACGGCACATATTGAATTATACATGCATAGCACGCTCGTGCATATTTCAGTGCAGCTGGCAAACATGTTAATACATCATTAGACTGAGAAGGGAGCATAATAAATCGGTAATTAAATTTTATATTAACAAGTGCTTGAACTATATATTTGAAGTAAAAAAAAATCCACATGCAGTTACACATATATACATGTACCTTGATTTTGGAATAAAAATATTTTGATAGTTTTGTTTCGTTTCGGCAAGTTTCGTTTCGTTTCGGCTTGATTTCGTTTCGTTTCGTCTTGATTTCGTTTCGTTTCGGTAGGTTTCGTTTCGTTTCGGTAGATTTCGTTTCGTTTCGGCAGATTTCGTTTCGTTTCAGTTCGTTTCGTTTCGTTTCGTTTCTATTTCGTTTCGCACTTTACAGGTACCCATTTCAGAAACAGAAAAAAACACTTTTTTAAAAAGTGATAAACTTTTAATATTTAATCAGAACAATTCGTAAATTTATTTTTACATGAAGAATAGGGATAAAGAAATCACAAAAACATTCTTTACGTAGTTCATGTTTAATTAACAGTTTTTTCAAGTCTATCTACAATCATGTTTAACACGTCATTGTTCATTTCATTCTTCTCTTAGAAATTGAAATGAGTTGCCGATTGTTTTGTTTAAGAAAATTATTTGATCGACAAAGCTGATAACAGACGACTCCTAAGTTTGTTCATAATAATTCCGGCTGTAGAAAATATTCTTTCCGAGAGCAAGGATGTTCCTGGAATTGATAAATATTTTTTTTTTTTGCCAAGCCGGCGAGATTATGGAATTGTGTAATCGTTTCACTAGGATGCCTCGCTTTTAAGTGCGCAAGCATATTTGATGTACCCCCAGTGTAAGTTAATTCCATTGAACAAATTTGACATTTTACAGTTTTTCCATCTAGCTCTCTCTTAAAATATTTCCAAGCATGCGATGTCGTTGGGGCGGCATTTTCAATGACAAAAGGTGGTTATACATGCAGATACACTTTAAAAGTTGTTACACACAAACTTAAACAGTATTCAGTAGTGATTTTAGTATCATCCAAGCATGACTCGAAAAACGCCGGTTATGTTTATGATGGAAAGAGGTCGGTGTTTTAACAGTACTGTAAACCAACTTTTATTCGCGTGCGAGAAATTTTCGCGAGGTTTGCGAGAGCCTCGTCATCGCGAATATTTCTCGCCATGAACTGGTCCTAAAAGTCTCTTTAATATTAAAAACAGTTCCAAAAATGGCTTGATCGCGAAAATAAATCGTCGCTAACTAGTTTACTCCCGGTAAATCGCGAAATAAAGTCGTCGCGAATAAAAGTTGGTTTACAGTTATTAGCACTTCTCAAACCGTCCAATACCCTGGTGTCAATTATAGGGACGACTGTAATTTTCTCCAAATTATTATAATTGGACACTTTTGATACCGTTTAATAACAGTTCGAGATTTGGAATGAAAAATTACAACTTGATAAATTTTGCTAAAAATATGCATATTTTCATTTTTATTTTTTTTTTGATCCGACTAACCGATTAGAGAATTTGCAATCGATTACCATCGTTCCGACCGATTAATAGATTAACCGGTTAGAAATTGACATCCCTAGTTTCTACATAACTTATAATGTACCGTTTCCCCGCAATCACGTATTTTTCACGCTATTTCAAAAGTAAAATTAATATGATTCAATCCTTACGCCGCGGTTTCGAATCCAACTGTGGGACGTGGAGACCGGTCCTTCGAATAAGACCATATAAACCGAGGTCCCGTGTCGCAGTAGGTCCTGGCACAAATGATCCCTCCCTGCTCAATGGCTCTGAGTGTCGAGTATAGGACGAAATTTGCAGCTCTCCTCCAGCAAGTGGTGGCGTCTCCATATGAGTGAAAAATTCTCGAGAGGGACATTAAACAACATACAATCAATCAAATGTAAATTTAATCTCAATAATTACCAATTCCTTTCTTCTTTTTATATTTGCTTAGATCTCATAAAATCAGAAATGTTATCATCTTATCTAAATATTACGTCATAATTATTAAATCTAAATTTGAGGAGATACTTGTACATTGTATAAGGTTCTTGCGGGGAAAACGTAACGTCTTATGTCTTATGGCCAGAACATGAAGTGTACTATATATGTAATGGCAAAGTTCAGTAAGTTGTAAGGAGGTAATGACTATTGATGGAGAAACACGAGTTCAGATAGTTGTGCGTATATACACGTAGACCACTGTATTTTGGATCACCTTCTAATCTATTGCAGAAGTTCAAGTTGAACTAGGACGGTGCATGCAATCAATATTGTATGCATATCCTGTGTTTGTAAAATTTAGATTTTTAGAACAATATTATTTGGCAATTATAAGAACAGGTATGATCATAAAGTGCAAAATTTCATTACATTGATAATTAAATAATATATTATATAAGTTCGACTAGATATAAAAATCCTTCTGTTCTAAGTACAATGGCTCTAAAACAATAAATGTGGAAAGAATCTAATTGATAAAGAAACATTTACTATTAAAACAATATAAATATACAAAGTTTGAGAATAAGGGAGAGCATATGTGATATGTCATTTTTTTGTCTATAGATTTTGCAAGACGATTGATTTTCATTATCCCCATATTGTAAAATTTTGAATTATAGAATGGTTGAACTCTTCATCTTTCATTGTAAAAAGCCTGTTTTGCAGAATTACTTACATGTATAACAAAATATTTGCCATTTTCTTCTTAATGTTTATTATTTACCACAACATTATATATTTGAGCAATTGTCAATTTACTGATATGAAAGTTGGACAATAGAAGCAAAAGAAAATACAAGGCTTGTTTTCATGTGATTAGTTCCTCTTTTTATCTGTATTGTCTTGAATTTTCCTTTTGCATGATGATGCCAAGAAGCACTCGAAAAGTATGATCTGATTGCTAACCCCTGCTTTGCACTTGATTCCACCTCTTTTTTATTTTCCTTTTATTTTTTACATAAATGGACATTTGAACTTGACTACTGTTCGTTAACTTTAAAACTCAGTCAAGGTTATCTCAATTTTCTACTTATCTATGTATGTACGAGGGATGTTCAATAAATAATGTCCTGAACTCTATCACATACAACACAGATATCATATAACAAAAGTTTGACTTTCTCTCATGATTTAGTCTTTAGTGAATTTATATAATTTAATGTGACCATTTTTCATCTCATATTTTCATTGTGAGAAGCTGGAAAACAAGGGTTTTACGAGACACTTCATTAACAGAATCAGTAGAGGGAAAATAAACGCTTCATTTTAGCTGCTGTAAAACTTCATGAGAATCCAAAAGAAATATTCTGTGATATTTGCGAAATTTAAAGCAACTAATGCCTGTTTTATAGACACAAGAGCAGGTGAATTTCAATTATTTTTACACATTGTATAATAAGTCTTTAAATATTCCGAAAGAACAATGACATTGCTCAATATTTTTTTACTCCATTATCTTGATTTAAATTGCAACAAATTTTTTACGGATTCTGAATTCTTTAAGGCTTCGTACTGAATTCTCAACATATTGTTATTTACTAAACTATTGAACATACAAAGTCTCTTTAAGCTATATCATCATCTGCTTGATATCCATCTTGTTTTATCAAATTTATTTTGAAATGCCCTTATACTGATGCACTTCTTTTAAATTTTTAGTTAATAGTGAAAGAGCATGGCGTCACAATATAATACCATAATGTGTTTTAGCTATACCATGTCATGGGTACTCATTTGTATAAATATTTTGTATAAGCAAATAGCCTTAATCATTCTTTGCATACTACAGGGACCCCATATGTTATTGATTACTGGATGTTATTCAGTTGCACGGTGAATACATAAAGTTTACCCTCGTGATTGTTCCCCACATAACCATTGAAACATTTGTACGTGTGATCTTTTGAATTGGACTCGTCTGTTTCAAAAGTTCCATTCTGGCAATCATGGCTGTCACACACTCCGACTAGGGAAACATACAAGTGTATCAAAATCTAAATAATTCGCAAAAGAATCTAGTTATTTTTCTTTATGAGTATACCTCATCAGTGCAAATCTGTAATATTGAACGGAAATTCATGCTGATAACAACAATACGCATTCGAAAGAAAAAGTTTTACTTAGAAAAACAATAATTTGAAAACGAAGATACATCATTGTCCCGATCAGAATATTTCATGATTTTCTACAATGTCATACATACATTTAAAAAAATATGCTTTTTTTTTTAATTGATAAAATAATGTGGACATATAAGAGAAAGGTACCACTGATAGAATGAATTAATTAGATTGCGCCTTGTTTGTAACAACCATTTCCGTGCGAAGGTGATTCCGTGTAAAATAACTAATTCTTGACCAAATTATTCGATACAGTTACGCGAAGCGGATTATAGAGAAGGTAATGCTCGAATATTTTGACAAAGAAATAGAGTCATTTCAAATAATTTAATTTTAGAATAATCAAACGACTGTGGATTTAAAATTGTGTTGCTTTTTATGAGTTCAAAATTGCAGCTCAATAATTCAACCGTGGTAAAAGAAGTGACGAAAAGCGAGGGAAGGTAATAACTGATACATAGACCAACCAGTCATTATGTTTGTTTACATGACGTACGATTGAGCTATTGAAGTAAAAGGTACATCTATTAAATTTAGAAGTTTCCATGAACTCCAATGACACTTAATAAAGGGATTGCATGAATATAGATGATTTAGCTGGTTTTCAAAGGGGTGTGAATACCAAACCAGGTTATACAGAATAGTTTGCGTTCCTTTTTTGAAATCAACCAATGAGAGTCTAAATGCAGAAAACAAACAAAATTAAATTATTGTCAAAGGTTTGTTGACGTATTGCATAAACATACTCGTATTTTTAAATTTAAATGCAATTATATTATATCTATGTGTCATTTTTATTTTGTGGTAATTTTTTTTAATCAAACTTCCACAGGCATCTTTAGATATGTTTCCGGCCTTGATTATACTCCAACAAGATGACGGAAAGAGGCATTCAAATTATCTGTAATAGATTAGTTTTTTCTGAACTAAATAAGTGATATACTGTTTTAGTTTGTTGTTGATAAGACAAATGTAAGAGAGAGAGAGAGAGAGAGAGAGAGAGAGAGATTAAAGCCCCCTCCTTTTCGAGATATCTGTGGTATCAAATAAAAATTCTTATTTTTTTTAAATAGTCAAGGCAGTGAAAATAATCATTTTTTTAAGATTAACAAATCCATTTGGCAGTTATCATCGGCTTTTATTTTCCCTCGTCAAGTTCACAGGGATCACACGAAGTTAATGTGTTTGTCCTGTCGATCATTATCATTCAGCACAGTGGAGGTGTGGAAATCTCGTTTTACCGAAAACGCCGAAGGCAAAGAGTCACTTACGGTAGTGTTTCTAAGAAGTTAAAAAAGTTCTATCATTTCTCTCATTAGATCTGCTTTCAACATTTCTGAAGAAAAAAAATATAAAAGAATGAGGGGAATACATACTTGATAGGAATAAGTTTGAAATTGAATCTGAAACATACTTCCTGCTAATTTAAATTGCCACTGTCCACACATGTATATTTTGTAATATTTTTGTTTTATGACTGTTTTAATGTTTTTTTATGACTTAATTTTTTTGTATTACAATACACATTAATTGTTTATTAAAATATACTGAAAATACTCATAAAAATTCGTTTTCAGGAGGTAGGAGTAAGGGTGGAGGCTCATACCGAATAGCAGACACATATTTAGTTACGGTGAAGGAAGGAATTTTCCCTCTCTAATAATAGACTTTATATAGTACGTAATTAAGAAGGAAAACAATTCTTAATACATTACATTCTAAACAATTGGTCTTTTAAAAAAACACACACACTATCAATTTAATTTGCTCTCAAGATATTTGATCAATTGAATGTCTGAAGTAATGTTTATACTTCTCATAACTAGTTCTGACACGTTTTCGAGCATTTTTTTTAAATACAAGTACATGTAAGAAATATTTTTTATATTTGCTGAAATTGGCAAATTAAACGACTTGGATTATTATACATTCATTAAAGATTTGTCGTCTTTTACATAACAACAAAATGTTGTCGTGCGTGAAGTATTTGTACATAACCCTCAGCATCGTTCTACATTCATGTAGGTATTGAATGTGCTTATAACACCATTTATTTCCAGTATTTTACTACACACGTTTGACCATCATCGCTGTAGCTATTATATTTGCCCCTCTGTTTATCGGATACCAAGGGGCCAGCCAGAGGACATCTTCTTCCCAGCGACCGTTAAGGAAGGCCTTGTGGCACTTGTTGAACCACCATCCTCCCTTGTGAAGAGCCCACAGTCAGCATGCGGAGCATTGTCATTGTCCCTCTCCGGAGTACTGAAGTACATCCCTGATAGGTCATACTGGGAATTTCCTGTATCTAACATACTGTCGCCTATCAAATTAGAGATATTTATTTAGTTTTATTTCATTGCAGTCTTTTTACCTTTAAAATATATTATTTACTAAAGAATTTACGGTAGTAAAGGCAGAAATACAACGGCCTCTTTGCAATATCTTGGGATCATGTATTCCAACAATCCAATGGAATTCAAATGGGTACAAATTGCATCCCACTATGATCATACCCAGTTTTGTTTCTATATGAATCGAAATTTATGCAAAATTTCAAACATGTGAAGAAGAAAATGCTTGCTTGTCGTCAACTTGATATTTTGATATATTGGCATCAATTAATCAACCTCCATCCGTGTCGATTCGAAATATCCAAGTGAATTTGAAAATAAAGACACCACATAGAATTTACCCATTTTGCTAGCTATTTTTTAAACAGTACAAATGACATTTTTTTAAATGTTCAAAGATCAATGAATCAATTATGAAAATGTGTCATTGTTTTGGTTTTCAAGTTACTTTCTTTTTTTAAAAAAGAGTAATGGTAAATTTTGTCACATGGGTTTTCGGGTAAAATATTCAAGGAGAAGCGTTAAAAAAGAACCTTTTGATGAAAACACTCTTTTAATGCAAAAAAGTCATATGTAATGTAACATAGAACAAAAAGAAACATTTTGAAAACCATATTTGGTTTTTATTTTCATTTACGTTATTTGTGTAGATACTGAAACTATACTTGTATTTAAAAAATCGAAAGAAATTTGATAGCAGGATCAAACTCGTAAAAAATAAAGACACAGAAAATAACAAGAGGGCCAGGGGCCACATGGCGCACCTGCTTTTGAATTAATAAGCCACATAATGGCTTTGCTGTTCATAAATTGAATGTTTTCATTGATATAGCCTTTATTTTCCCTTGTTATAAATCTGCATTACCTTCTTTGATGCTTTTACATTGATGATCAATCATTGGTTTGTTGTTCTTGTGAACAATGTTAACGATTTTCCCTTTGTATTTCCTATGCATTCCCATGTTAAACTTTGAAACCCCATTGTGGCCCTATCCTCATCCCCGGGGTGAGAATATGCACAGACCTCACTACAAGAAGATATGCTTGTACATGAGTTTCATTTTTCCTGTTCCAATGGTTCTTGAGAATATTTTCAAAGATTTTTCCTATGTATTCATATGTTAAACTTTGATACCCCATTGTTTTCTTTTCCCATCCTACCCCCGGTGTCATGATACGAACAAACTTGAACTGCCAGAGGTTATGCTTCTACATCTTTCCTGGCCCAGTGGTTCTTGAGAAGAAGATTTTTAAGGATTTTCCCTTTGTATTCCAATGTTAAAATTTGATACCCTATTGTGGCTCCAACCTACCCCCGGGGTCATGATTTTAACAAACTTTAATCTAGACTACATGAGGATGCTTCCACATGAGTTTCAGCTTTTCTGGTCTAGTGGTACTTGAAAAGATTTCTTTTTAAATATGCCATTAACTTTTCACTTATCAATAAATATCTCCCCTTGGAAGATGGCATGATCCTTCATTTGAAAAAAAAAATGAATCCAATTTACCTAAGGATACTTTTTGGCAAATTTGGTTGAGATTTGCCCAGATTTTCATGAAAATATGATGAAGTTTACAACGACAACAACGACGACGACAGACAACGGACACATTTCGATCAGAAAAACTCACTTGAGTTTTCGGCTCAGGGGAGCTAAAAAATAAGTATGTACAGTGAAATGTATATTGTACTCTCTCTCTCTCTCTCTCTCTCTCTCTCTCTCTCTCTCTCTCTCTCTCTCTCTCTCTCTCTCTCTCCCCTAAATTAGCCATCACTAACCTAATGTCCCCGTTGCGGGCCCTGACAGGTAGAGTCTGTATTATCAGTTTCATCAGAAATAGAGAACCGATCATACAATTCATATAAAGTCGTTCCATTCACTAGAGTTATGGACACATAGAGAGATGAGTCATTTACCTTTGTCAAGTGATGGATCACATCATTTCCTGTTATGAAATTTATTCAAAATCAATGAAAGGTGGGTTGTAATACATTGTATGATTAGCATTTTATTCATGCTTTAAAGAATTTCAAAGTGTTTACAGAATTGTTTGCATTTATGAAAGATTAAATTTATTCGTGTTTAAATATCTTAGATAGTTGAAACATATTATCTCATATTACTAACAGGTACAGTGTAACCATTTTTTTTATTCATAAATTTTACTTTCATTTATTTTATACTTTCTTCTCAAGAATCTAATTACAATCAAAATTAATAAATTAACAATTTTACTCGGAGTAAAATGTGTCAACCAGCTTAATTTCAGATTTTGATTATTTAACACAGGTATGTTTCTACATCTACAAAAGGCCACGTCAAAATTTGGAATCTATCAAGTGGAGAACATAAGAGAAAAGAATTTATATACATATATATTTTAACATACCTATCCAGGTATCATTTTCTGGTGTTCCGAAACCGTTCTTATGTTCATCCCATGTTTTGACAAAGCTAAGGTATTCGTTTTCTCGAGCTCGTTTCTGGATTACCTTTAAAAGATAAACCATTAGGAGTGATACTTGTAAAGGACACTGACATGAGGTATCTGCCTTTAAATTTGATTAAAAAAAACGGGAATTAGAAGTCAGGCACCTACGTACATGAGTGTTTTTGAAAGATGTTCTTTCGTTCTTTCTTAATTCTACCTTTGCTTAAAAAAAATATTGCTTCAAAAATTATGTCCACTTAAAGTGGCTAAATTTATAATGGAGATGTCCTTATGATTTTTTGTTTATTTCCTTTCGAATTAACGTCTCTCTCGAGAAATTTTCTTGCATATTAGAGAAGCAATCAAGGAGCACACGGCGGGTTTGGGCTGCCGGCGGAAGACGCCCACAGCTCCATGGCACCTGATTCCACCTCTGAATTTTTGGAGGTCTGTGTTTGCTGTGCTCCTGTTTTATAGTGTAAACTTAATGGAATTTTGAGCTTGAGTGATGTTCGTTATCTTATTATCATTGAACACATCTTTTTGCCAGGACTTATTGAGACACAGGACGTCGTATTAAGGGTCTCATTCGAATAACTGCTCGTCGAGTCCCGCAGTGGTATTCGATTTTCGATTGATTGTATGTTGTTCAACTTCCTTCCCAAGAATTTTTTACTCATATGGAGACGTTACCGTATGACGGTGAAATGTTTCAAATTTTGACCTATACTCGGCACTCAGGGCGATTGAACAGTGAGGGTTCTTCATCGTGCCAGCGCCTACCGTGACACGGGACCTACGTTTATAAGGTCATGTTCGAAAGACCCGTGACTTTCACTTCTAGTCCCGAGCGCTGGGTAAAGGAAGAGTCACTGCCTATGTTTACATGCACGTCTTAGGAATCACTCGGCGGCGCGAACGAGAATCAAACCCGAGCCTCCCGATCACGAAGCGAATCCTCTTCCACTAGCCTACCGTGACCAGTCAGTGGGATTCGAACCTGCGACGAAAGGATGTACTTTCTTATCCTTGTCTCGTTATGAATCAATCCAGAGTAAACGCTGTAACCACTACACCACGCTGACGAAGAATTGTTGTTCTTTGTTTATCTAAATGGTTGTGTCCCCCATGCCATTGCTTACAAAAATATTTATGAAAAAAATAAAATTAGCGATTCATAGTTTGATATAAACATAGAAATAATTCTGCTTATTAATTGCTAAAAATTATTCATGTACATTACGGAGTTTTAATGTTATGTTGCTACTCCACGATATTTCTGCCAGTATCCAAGATTTTAAAATTGCATTGCTCTAAAAACAAAGTAAAATAAAATAATAAACATTTTGCACATACTCCTAATGTTTTGAAATGATAACGCACTATTTGGTATTTTTTTGGCAGGACAATCGAAATCATATTTCAATAGAGTTTACGAATGGTGGCTGTGAAGTCATAAAAAATAAAATCCAAGGTAGAAAAAAATTGGACGTTAAATCATTGTTGGTAATTAAACATAATATAAATTCAATATAGCTTGAATCAAGGTGAATGATTTGAAAAAGCAACTTTGAATCAATCTTTCAAATCTTTGTTTATCAACATATTAAAATAACATCACCTAATGTTATTCTCCATCTTCATGTAAATTATTTGAGTCTGATTCGTTAAGTCTCCGAAAGATGAAACCACACCCCAAACATAGCAACGACTGCGCATAATGATTGCATTTAATTGTTATACCTTTGTGAATAAAGCATAAAGTATAGAATAATAAGTAAAGTATTTTGTTAACGATATCACTGAAACTTTTCACCCCTCTCAAACATAATACAATTGCTGCACAAAAAAATGCATGTTTATGAAATGGTTGTTACGGATATTTATCGACAGACGCGACTGGAGTTTGAACACATGACCTTAAGTTTCCTATCACTGAGCAAGCACTCTGCCAACTGAGTTCCCTTGATGACCAAGTTAAATAATGAATCTTTGTAAATAAACAACTTACCGTACATCCCCCTTCCTGTGTCTTCATGTCGCCAGATAAATAGATTTTGTACACACCAGGGGCTCGTTTCTCAAAAAGTCGTAGATTTGGGCCTAAGTTAGTCCGACTAAGAAAGTTACGCCAAAATTTAGTCGGGCCTAAATCACATTTCAGAAAACGGCGTAAGACTGGGCCTAAGACTAAGACCTTTCCGCTAGGTACTAAGCATGCGCAGATCGTATTTTATTTGGTTTAGAGAGTACAATAACATGCGGCGGATCACACTTAAACCTGATTACAAAAAGTGAAGCACAAAAAGCACGAATTTTCCATGGCTTTTCATCGGCTTTCAAACAAATATAATACGCGAATCTATCTGTATTTTCAAGGTTAAAGCATTTGCATACTAGCTAGTATCAGCAGATTCAGAAATCTTGACAAAAGGGGCAGATTGGGGTCGGGTTAGGGGCCCACACACACACAAAAAAATTGTTTTAGCAAATCTTTTGTTATTATTTTGGACACAACCCCCTTCCCCTCTACATCCACAACTTTTATATTAAATTAGTTATATGTATTTGGTATGCTCAGATTAATTTTAAAAGTGAAATGTATACTATAGAAAAATATAAACATGTATATCCGGTATTATACGTACTTGTCAAAATTTGGAATAAAAAGAAATTTTCCTATGAGTAAAAGCCATAAATTAATAAATTATATGGCATGGGGTTGGAACAGGCTCGTAGCAATGTATTTGAAATGAAAGTGGGTGGGGGGGGGGGGGCAACCAGTATCTCATGGAAGTTTTCAGTTTTTCTATATAGTTAAAATACTCAAAGCAGAGAGAGAGAGTGAAGGACCGGAGCCCCCGACCCATAGGCGCACTGTGAAAATTTAACAATTTTGAAATCGTATGATAATGATAATCATTAAAACATGGATAAGAGATTTTTGAATAAAAATTATCAGTTGTCTTAATTTTATAATATCAATCCATTTATTAATTACGAATTAGACATACTGGCATTTCAGTTGAAACATATATATATATATATATATATATATATATATATATATATATATATATATATATATATATATATATATATATATATATATATATATATATATATATATATATATATATATATATATATATATATATATATATATATATATATATATATATATTATATATATATATATATATATATATATATATATATATATATATATATATATATATATATATATATATATATATATATATATATATATATATATATATATATATATATATATATATATATATATATATATATATATATATATATATATATATATATATATATATATATATATATATATATATATATATATATATATATATATATATATATATATATATATATATATATATATATATATATATATATATATATATATATATATATATATATATATATATATATATATATATATATATATATATATATATATATATATATATATATATATATATATATATATATATATATATATATATATATATATATATATATATATATATATATATATATATATATATATATATATATATATATATATATATATATATATATATATATATATATATATATATATATATATATATATATATATATATATATATATATATATATATATATACTACTGTGTATATTTACAATACTAGTATTTTGGACACATAATATAACATTGATATCGATATAATAATTTACATAGTCCATTTAAAAATACGTACCTATATATAGCAATTGCAGAATCAATGATGGCTTGCAAAAGCTAAATTAGTTTTTAATTTATAATTCTTGTGAACTATATTACAGACAAGAAATCTAGTAATTTTTATAAATTTCTCCATTTGAATTTTCTATTTCAACATTTTCAAATCAGATTCATTTAGACCGGGAAAGGTACTAATTTCAACATCACCATCTTTCCCTTAAATCTATCCATTCCTTTTCAGTTTCTATTGAGGATATGTTCTTACATTATTATTTTTTTTTATAGATGAAGAATGTTTTTTGAAGATGTAATCTAGACTTAAAGATATTAAAAAGTCGCGATTTACATTCACAATAAAACATTTTACAACACTTTATTATCACCATTGTTATATGAGTATTTTGTTTCAAGTATAATATAAATTATTTTTCTGTTCAAAAATCTATCAAAAAAACCTTTTTAGGCAAACTCCGTCCGAGATACGTGATTGTCAATTAATCAAAAGCATCTTTACGAAAAAATAATAGACTCATCTACACATCTCACCTCCCGATAGTGACTCTAGTGAAATAGGAATTAACAGTATTATGGACATAATACTTTAATTATAATACTGGAACATTTAACAAATTTAAATTGTTATGTTCTATCAATATAATATTTAATTACATGCAATTAAAAGAGAGAATCAAAGATACATTAACTTAGGTTAAAGTTCATAAACTCGGTTGATGGCATATTTACCGAATATTTTTTTCGTTATCTAAAATGCTAGTATAAAAATGGATATTGTTTGAGGATTTTATTGAAACATTATCCATTTCAAACAACAAAAGATTATCCAGCACCTACAGCATGTAGCATCGTTTTTAAAAGTTAACGGGGAAGGGGATGAGGGTGGTGGTGAGTACAGTGAATTTGGTGATCAAAATATTCAGCCGAAAAGAGAAATGCTGAAAGTTGAAGTCAGTCCATAAATTGCACAGCTTTGTTTATGCAGAAAACAACTATCTGCAAAAAACACGGATTGGGTTGAACCCCCCCCCCCCCTGCACCCCAACCCTCTACGAAGAAATTCTGGCACTTCTTTAAAAAATCTTACCCAACTTATATTCAAAATTCTTTATACTTAAATTTTTTTTAGTTCATACTACCTTTTGCGGAAAAAGTCTGCATCTTTGATGGATTTAACTACCTTTCTATTTTCCTTCATAATACAGTATGCTATAAGAATTTTCACGATTTTTACATGTATATGAATAGGTTTTATATCGTATACGTATAAAATAATCATTCTTTTAACTCTTTATGATTAAAACGCATGCCTTTTTTTCAATGTGTGTACAGTCTACAGACTAAGCACTTACGCCTACTCACGAGCAGGCCTAGATTTAAACCCAAATTTAGTCTCGACTAAGTCTCCGCCTTTTTGTGAAACGCTACTTAGTCCGATTCTCGGGTTTAGTCACTGATTTAGTCCGGACGAAGCTTACGACTGGTCGTAGACCTTTTTGAGAAACTAGCCCCAGATTTAGTTTTTCCATTAATCCGGACGTCATTACAATCTCTCGGAAGAACTATAAAAGATAAGATGAAGAAACAATGGATTCCCGAAATATTAAGATAAGATAAAGGACCATGCAATTCAGCTTAAAATTTCGGTATTACACTTGTCCTGTATTAAAAATATTGATAAAAAACAGTGACAATTAAAGGCTGTTTTCATGTTGTTTTAACAAAATAGGTTTAGGTTAGAAAATTAAGACCTTCTTAGGGCATACATACAAATAAAAAACACAAGATATAGTAACCATACAAATCTGGTCCTGTGTTTTTCTTAATATGGAAGTGATGTAAGAAATTAAAGTTCATCCTTTTGAATCATCGAACGCCCATGCTGTAAAATCATTAAAAAATGTTTTTTTTCCCCTAAATGCTAATTAGGACCTCATGAACTGTCCCTATTTAATTTTAAAAAATGCAGAAAACATCAATTTTCAAAGGAATTTTCTTGATACATGTGTAATAATATTGAGGACGTGAAAATTAAGAGAAACATTTATATTTCAAAGATTTATATTAAAAAATGCTTCATATCTAAAAATGGAAGACGGCGACAGCTGTGGGTTTAACGTTGAATATTGACCCCAGTTGAAAATTGACCTGGTGTTCATTTTTCAACGTTTAATATTGAACCAGGGGTGTTTTTTCTCCGTTGAAAATTGAGACCAAAAGACATTGAATTTATACCCGGGGTCATTTTTCAACAGCTTGATATATTTTTTTCTTATCCCCGTTGACCTCAACAAGTTGAAAATAGACCCTGTTGAATATTGACCCCGCCTCAGTGATTCGGGATTAATCAGTATCTCTTTATTTTTATTTCGGTTTCAACTTTTTTCCCTTTTCAAGAAAAAAATATATCATCCCGTGTATATATGTACATTTTGTTCAGTACACGATTTCAGTTATCTTCAAACATGATAACTTAATTTTTTGACAATACTCTCTAAAATCCACCATCATAAATAACTACAAAACTATGAATAGGGCATAAAACAAAAATCCTCGAAATCTGGTGTCTAGAAAGTGAGCCCTATATAATATTATATTGATCAGGTTGGTAGAACATCTAGTCTAGTCAAATCTAGTATAAAAATTAACAAAACTAAAAGTCTAAAAATTAGAATGCAACATATCGGTCAAAATAAATCCAATGATAGGTTATATTTGTGAAAAGATCAATATAGCGACCATAACATGTAAGTAATGCTGACTTTAAACAAGGTTGGTGAAATCCCTGTAACAAACTTATCTGTCAATAGCCTGCCTCGGCCCAATAATCGATCGTTTTCGGAGCATAGCCTTAACTGGGAATGAAAAATAGTGTTAGAGTCTGGGATAGATAAGAAGTGCACTTCCCAACATCAACGATATCAACAATTAAAAAAACGCCGTCCCTGCAACTTCTTTTGATCGAAACAACTAAAAAGCGCATTCCTATCGGAGAAACAGAGAGAGAGAGAGAGAGAGAGAGAGGGGGGGGGTCCTAAAGTTTTTCTCGGAAGTGGGGGTATGGTGTCAAAACCCTCTGAAATATTGTGGCAAAAAACATCAACAAAATAGATAAACGAAACTCAATAAACAAACAAGCAAACAAAAAATAGAAAGGGAAACTAGCCAAAGTTGAAAACCAAGCCATTCTTCAACAATATATGGTACTACTCCCAAAAAGGGGAAATCAACCCAACACCTTTTTTACATCCTCTACTTAACAA